CAGTGCATCCACTTCACACTGTTCAGAGTGTATTAAACTTGATGAAAAGGGAAAAAAGAAAAAGCATTCTCAGAAAAGACCTCAACTACTGCGGAATCATGGAGACTCATAGATCGAGTCGATGTCCAGGTGTTCCTGGTATGAGGTGGGTGTCCCAGAAGGGACGAATTAAAGAAAATGTTGCATAGCAAACCTAGCCGCAAAGACACTCAATATTCCGGTTCCAGTGCCGATATCTAGGACATGATCGGTAGGTGAAATTGTGTTCTTCAAGGCTTCCAAGAATTTCGTGTTTCTCTCCTAAACCTCCATAATTTTAAAACGAAAGAATTACGATGAAACACGGAGGAAGCAAATGTTCACCTGATCATTGATCATAAACATGTGCCACTGGTCAAAAACACCGCTCCGGATGTTAGCAGAGGAGACCCGAAATACAGCACCCATCAAATGATCGCATTCAGCGTTAATAGCTGCTTTGAGGTTGTCGTAGGAGCACACACCTGTCTCGCCAGTGTCTGCAATTGACAGACTTGAAGTGATTACGATAGGTTCAAGAAGGGTTTATAGGAGACTGGTGGTGCTCAATGGTACGCCAGTGGCGAAAAAAGCGGAGAAATCCGTCAAGAAAACGCAAAACGGGACCCCTTTTTTGGCCGTTGGTTTTCACTCATGAACAGGTAACAGCTCAGAAAGCGGACGTATGAACGAGTTCACCGCAACGCGTTTGGTGACAGCATGCCAAACCATGCTCCAATCGAGTTGCTCCAGTTGTGCCGCTGCTGGCAACGCAGCTCGTCCAAATCACCAACTAAAGTGGGCGGATCGCTTTTGGGGGCGGAGTGCTTTCGAAGTCCTGCTCAGCAACCAGCGCACCTTTCGTCGTGAAAGCGCCACACCTCGCTTCCTTGGCAGCCAAGTAACTGATTCGTGTGGTGCATATGCTTCCCCGATGCGCTCCCTCTTTATCGTAATCGCTGCCTTTAACGATTCTCTTTCACAACAATTCACCTTACTTCCAGTTTTCAATGAATCTCACTAATAACACCCACAGAAATGGAAGACATAAGACGAAGGATTGAGCCATAGTGAATCTCTTTCAAGCACAATGCAGCAGATTATTCATCGCC